GTTGTGCAGTGCGGCATGCGGCATGGTTCAACTGCAAACCTGGCTACTGACAGTTTCTGTAATTGAATTGTCGTCAAAGCGATCCCCAGGGTTGGACCATTCGCCTGTGCAGATGACGCAGTGAGCCGCAATGTGGAAGAGACATGGAATGGTTTCCATGAACAAGAAACAGTTTCATTGTGCGTGGTTCCAAAAACATGGTGCCAAAACATGTTTTGTTCTGGTGCCAGGTACGAGGAAGAAGAAGATGAAGAGCAAGAACAAACTGAATATGATTCGCCTGACCAAGAAACATCCTTCACTTCACCAGTACGGGATCCTGGGAGGTTGAACAAATGATGGTACGCACCTCTGCAATCAGACCAGAATAGTCATTTTTTTTCCGTGTCACGCACCAAAGTAAACATTCAAGTCTTGATACGCACGTTTTACAGTTCGATTTCACCCGAATTGGGTTTGGATTGATTTACAGAAATGCGACTTTGAACGTTGCGGATCATTGAACATGTGGACGAAGTTGAAATTTGGGAAGATTCAATTCTGCAGATGTGCCTGCGCAGATCGTCAGGAATGGATGTTCAATCACGGTTCTGCCAGTGATTTGGATGTGCGCATCTCATTTTTTGCCTTCATGGCAAATTTGGAATCATGCAAATGCAATGCAGTTTACCTGTCACAAACAACCTGCTGGATTTTTACCTGCCCACCATTTATTACTAGGCATAGCTCACCACATCCAAAGCATCAGGCCTAATCAAGAACATGTTTCAGTTTTCTTCCAGTTTCACATATATATATATAAATAATTAGCCCTGCATCTTGCATATCATATATAATATTATAATATATAAATGACATCAACCATATCACATATACCAAGTTGAACCCATGTGTTGGCGAATGTTCTGTTCTCCATTTTCCTTTCCCCAACCCTAATTAACAGCGGGTGTTTTCTATAGATAGCCCCATATATAGATCCCAAACTGAATTCTAGTTAATCATCCAATGTTAAGCCGGAATGTTTCTTGGTCAATGTACTAAATCAATCCTGATTCATCAGTCTTTCTGGGATTATTTGGCATACTTTTTGGAAAAGGGTGGTCAGAAGTGGGTGGTCAGAAGTGGGTGGTCAGAAGTGGTTGGTGGCGTCCTTCCCATGACAATATATCAGCTTGGATCATGATCCCACAGAAGCCTATGTCGCCGCACGACATGATGCAATTTTGTGACAGATGTTTCTACCGTAGCACGTCAGGCACGTGACGGATGTTTCTACCGTAGCACGTCAAGCGTGTGACACATGTTTCTGCCATAGCACGTCAAACGTGTGACAGATGTTTCTACGGTAGCATGTCAGGCATGTGACAGATGGTTCGACTGTAGCATATTTCTAGCGCAAAATCTGAAACATGTGACAGATGTTGTTGGAAAAGCAAATTAGCATCCGTAGCCATAGCATATGAAACATAAGGATATCTTTCTACAGTAGCATCTTTCTAGAGCGGCGCGTGAATCATGTGACATGTTTCGCGTGTAACACATGTTTCTGATGTTGCATGTTTCCAGCAGAGCATGTGCAGCAGGGACAGATGTTTCGCACGTGATACATGTTTCCAGCGTTGCATGTTTCTAGCATAGTAAGTGAAACATGTGACAGCATAGCATATCTCTGGCGAAACCTTCACAAAAAAGGACGTGTGTAAAGCATGCGACACTTTTTGGCACACAACAGGTTTCTACAGTTGCATGTATTTAGCGTAGCATGTGGAAACTTGCATATAAAAGATGTGGCAGATGCTTTGATCCTAGCATATTTGTAGGGTGGCATCTAGAACAGGTGACAGATGTTTCGCATGCGACACATGCTTCTAGCTATGCAGGTTTCTAGCATAGCATGTGTAGTGTGAAACATGTGAAGAGTGTGACATTTTGTTGAATCATGTGACATATTGTTGACAGGTGATACATATTTCAAGCCTTGGATGTTCTTGTGAGAGTACAGGTCCGAAAACTACCGCAAGCCCTCACCACGAGCCCTCACCACTACCCCTTCACCCCTGTACCACTAACCCCAATCAGCCCATGAAGATGGCGCAAGAAGGCATGAACAGCACGATGCAAGCAAAAAGTCATGTTCCTGGGAGGGTAAAAGATCCATTGGCACCAACAACCAAGTACATAGATTGATGGTTTGACGTGGGTAGAAACAATTCCAAAAACAGCACCGAACGAATCGCACGAACTAAAGAGGGTTGTCAAAGGTTTGGAGCGGGCTTGCTGAATGGAACTCTTGGCTTGCGATGAAGCCTGAGCCTCACGAAGTATGCAGATATAGCTAGCAGATGTCATGTTTCTGGACGTTTCTGATTGTACCGTGATTGAAGAATTACAATGCTTGAACGTCTACTTCGAGAGATTTGGAGATAGCTGAACCACATTTTAGCCTTGACCAGGTCTCCCGTGTTTGTTTCTGGCCATTTGCGCATGGACTTGTCAGCTGGTTTACAGGATGGAGATGTCCTATGGAGGTGAACAATTTGAGGTCGAGATTCAAATTGTACCTGTTAATGTCCCATGCAGCCTATGCACGTGAACTCGGTGAAACTCAGTGCCAAAGACTGCAAGTGCTCCACGACTCTATGGTGCATCTCCGCAGGGATCTCATCCAGCTCCGGAACAAATAAGCCAAGGGTCAGCCTTGCATGGGACAGGCCATATGCAGGGCCTTGTGAAATTTCAAGCAAACCGAAACATGCATAATCTTTGAAGTACAAAGATGATGAAAAGCTGGATCATTTTTGGACTTGTCAAGCATGATGAACCATTTCACATTCGTTGCGGGAAGCAGGCGCTTGCAAGCCTTGTGCGCACACTCCTCAATTTCTTGTACCTGGTTCGCTTGCTGCTGGAGAGCACTGTTGTCATGTTTGAGGTTTTGAGATTCTGAAAGGCCGAAAACTTGCTGTGAAGTTGAGGTGGTTTTGGAAGCCAGGAAGCTGCCAAAACAAGGTCATCGAGTTATCACACGTCCTTCCAGTTTCTCTGTTCACCTCATATCAAAGGACTGCACTTTGTCAATGGCTGATGTGGCATTTACAGGACAACTGCAGCTACTGCCACCTTTGTCCAGAAGGCGAACTTTCGGCCTGTGGAATGCTTTCCATCGCTTTAAATAGATTTTCCACATGATATTATTTTTTCATTCTTTTTTAACGTCTTAGTTCAATCATGTGTCTGCGTTGTGCGAAGGTGAACTGAAAGCCAGAAAGAAAGCCAAGGCACAAGCCTTCTGTCAGTCATCGTGTCTAGTCAGTTTTTGAAAAAGTGCCAGCAGCCTCTCCAATTTCGTGTGTGTGTGTGTTTGTGTGCATGCTGAGTTTTCGAAAGGTTGCCATGATGCGGCTTGGCGTTATCACCCCGAAGACTGTGACTTGTCTGCACTAATTTCGGGAATGAAATGCCAGAGCAAAAACATATTGAAACTCAATCAGATGGGAATTGCAACTCCCACCAGTCTCTATATGCTGTTGTTGCCGTTGAGGCCAAAGAGAATCCCGAGACGGTGCTGAACCTTTCTTCACTCCTGTAGTTGTGGCGTGATTATCTTTCTCTCGATTTGTCAGTACATGCATGTACCGTCATGAAGTGGAAATCAAGGTTTTTAGAATGTTGCGTGCCCCAAGGGCGCATGCATAGTTGCAGAAAGATTCCGCACAATTTTAGTGCTGTTGGCGTCTCTTTGCCAGGTAGATCACTGAGGAAGCTCTCAGCTGAATGAACAGTGAGCAGAAATTGCTCCAGGGCAGGGAGGATTGCAAGCGATTGTCAATCTATCAGAACAAAAGCTTTTGCAATGCGATGAGTCAGATGCCGTAGTTGTTGTACGTAGTTGTTGGTGGTCGCTTGTTGGTACTCCTTTGTCACTTGCTGAACCTAAGCCTATCATGCCAGAGATGGCGCTCTTTGGTCACACCTTCGGCACCTAGAAGTCAGGATCGCAGTTGAACCTCGATAGTTTCCATCCACCACAGTATTTCTTACAAAAGCCCGCAAAGCTTTTTGGTTACCATTTTTTTTGTATGAGGTGCGCATCCGCAAAAGTCTGGTGTTGCACCTCTCAAGCATCCTGAAGATTTCACCCAGTTTCAATTTTGGCAACACGTTAATGAGAAACAAGTGAAGCAGGTTGCTGAGGCTTTGAATGCCCCATTCATTCGACGGATCATAGCAGTTTATTCCAAACACTTCAATGAACCACCAGCATCCTGCCTGAGCAACAATGTGTGCTCATTGCTAAAGCACAGAGTCTGCGCGTTTCGCTGGCTTGAACCTAAACGAGCCTGATCTCGAGGTTTTGACTTGCAGTTTGTTCATGTTTGTTCCACATTTTTTCCACATATTTTTTCCAGTGGGACCATGCTGCGTGAGATCAGGTGTTCCGCACTAATTTTTGCATGAATCCTGGCAAACGTGAAGTTGCGACTGCTTCAGGATAGCAGGGTCTCAAGGGGCCCGATGAGATGTTGATTTTCACTTTCTGCGATATAGAAAAGGCAATGGAAACATTAGGACGTGGGAATCTTGTTGCGTTTTCACTTTGGTAGTATGATACCTGAGACAGATGCCATTTGCGGATGCTTTTGGTTCTCCGAGAGCTTTGCAGACTAGAAACGCAGCATTCTGTTTACTGAATGTTCCCGAACTGCAACCGAAAGCACTCAAGCAATACGCTCGAACAAGAGGACAACTTGCAGCATAGCCTGTTGTCATCATAGCTTATCATGAGTCTTGGTGGCCAAAAACTGACTGACAACTTCTCACTCAAAAAAAAACATCCCTGCGACATACTCCTGCTCTGAAAATTGCAAAAGATGGACCAAGATGGACCAAGATGGACTCACTATTTTCTTTCTTGGTTTTATAGGGAAGATCAGGTAAATCCGAATTTTAGCCCAAAGTGTGCAGCCACAATAGCCTCTATTTGTGTTAATTTGCAGAATTTCATATCCTGAAGCTCGGCGTCTCCAGTTGCACAGCCTGAAGGCCAAATCTGGAGCTGCTTGACATGGAAAGGAGATCCCAAATGAAGGTGGAAAAGTACTCCACTGCTAAGCTGCAGGCATGGCCCGTTGGCCCCCTTTGGCGCTGCTGTTAACATGCGAGGTTGGGCTGCAATGGGCTGAAACGTGTGCGGCAAATTTGATGACTCCTTCCTGTGATCGCAAGAGGTCAGTGCGTTTTACCTGCCCGGAGTGGGTCCAACAGAGTACCTCGATGTCTGGGGCCTACAGATATCTACAGATGCCAGTACTTGGCAACTAGTTTGCAAGGTTTTTCCGGTCCCCTTAGGACATGCGCTTCAAATTCAAAATGATATGATTCAAACAGGTTCCATGCACACATCTACGGGGATTTCAACACACTTTGGAGCATTCGTCAAGCGCCTCCAGCACCTTCGATGGAAGGAAACCTTTCATAGATTCATAAACCATTCATAAACCATCTTCAAATGGCATCCGGTTGGATTTGTTCTTGAACAATCTTGAACAAAGGTTGACTTCAGTGGGCTCGAGTGAAAGAGGTATCCCAAAGAACGGAAAGTGATGTGGTGAACTACAAAAAGTGATACCTTTACTTTACTTAAGGGTTGTGTCGGATGTTGGTACTTCCCCCCAGCTAAAACCTACTTAAGTGATTTCAGCGCTGATGCTTTTAACCACTCCTTCACTCCTCTCCTTCCTCTCTCTCTCTCTCTCCTTTTTTCTGGGCGAGCCAAAGTGCTCCCAATAGCACTTCCCGTAGCGATGCCAAAGCGATACCCAAAAATAGCGCAAATCTGTCCCAGGCACCCAATGACCCAATCATGCCTTCTTTGGTGCAGAGCAAAGACTGAAATGTGTCCGACGGATATTCACAGTTGCACACTGAAGGAGAGCAGCGTAGAGCTGAAAGTGAACAAATTAACTTCGGCCAGAGCCTGAGAACATATTGTTCCTTTGGACTTTGGACATGAAGCGTGAGTCACGTGACGTGTGGGCAGCATGTAAGAGACTAATACTACAAACAAAATCAAGAAGCTGGGACACTCACAAGGATTTGGAAAGTCTATCAGAAGTGAACGATTGAGGTGAAGACCCAGCTTCCCTACAGGTACTATGTCTTGAGCTTATAGGTTTGTATGTTCGAAATTTTGTTTCTGATTCCAGCAGCAAGTCTGAGAGCTATCTGCATTTGTGATTCGTTTTGATCCGTGACTGCTCGCGCTCGTTTAAAGTTGCTTACGGTTTGCCAAGGTCTTGCCTTACTGTCGGCCGAAGGATTGGTTGGATCAGGAGCAGGGGGGGCCCTGGCAATCACCGAACATTCGCTGCAGGAGATCCACGTGTCAGCAGAAAACCTCGGCGAGATTCTCATGGGCGACTCGATAGAAAATTCGCTTTACGACGTCAGGACGTGCAGCAGAATCGGTTTGAGCGATTTGGGATATTTGAGCGAATATTGATTGCATGGATGACTGTGAATTGAACGGCAAACTGACTTGGTTTATAAACCTGACTTAATGAATTTGACATGTCAGGGAAAATTGCATCACGATTACATACGATTACGATTGATCGAAACATATCGAAACCATGTTGATTGTTGAGCAGGATGAAAGCCAATGCATCCTGTGCACTTCTGTGTGATCGGGCACTGCATGATGAGGACATGTTTTTGCGTTGGCTTACAGCCTTTGCATTATTGTATATTATTGTGTTTGCACGTGTTTTGACCCAACTGGTATGCTTCATCAGGACAAAGCTGCATTCAAGAGCATGATTGACAACGAATATCAGGCACGAACCGCAGAGAAAAACAGAAAAATAGGCCACTTTGGGCAAAATCCGCTGCCTGCAGGTGAATTGGTTGGTTGACAATTTGCCGGCAGTCCTGCACTTGGGCTATGGAGGATTCCCATGGAGTTACACATTGTGGATGTATTCCGTCTTGGAATGCAGGTGTGATGTGTTCGTTTCTGCGGTTGCACGCTTTCATCTCTGAGGCCATGAAATATCAGAAGACTCGGACGGGTGCCATGTCGTGCCTCCTGGTCTTTCAGTACAATGCTCTGTGGGTGAAGATTGTGACCGCTTGGCTTCACAGCTTGCTTCGCAGCTTGCTTCACAGCTTGCTTAACAGCTTGCAAAGCCGCAGGTACACAAATGGCTTTCCCGTGGGACTGAAGATTGATGGAAGGCCGGGAAACAGACAATTCACAGTTTTCAAAAAGCAGCCAGTTCACGACTGCATTGGCCCATATTGGCCCACACTTTGAACGTCCGATGTCAAATGTACAACGCTGTCAGTTACTACGTCCACAATCACATCCAGATTGGGATCTCACCTTAGATACAATCCACATCAATCCACAGCCTCAAGATGCCTCCAGATGCCTCGACCCCTGGACAAGCATGGATTAGCCCTTGACATCCCTTGACATCCCTTGACATCCCTTGACATCCCTTGACTAAGGCTCTACTATCACTCCAATGCAGAAGAGTTTGAAGGTAGCCGAGTTGTAGGCTTTGAGGCGCAAGCCAGACCGTCCCCCGACGAATCTGTAGGTAGCTCTTCATGTTCTTACGGCTTTGCAAAATTTGGAAGGTGTTTCCCCTAAGTCTACAACAGCAAAAAAGGCTCGGGCTGCAGACTGTGACAAATGGCATGCAAATGGGACGGAGATGCCTGTGGCTGCCTGTGTCTGCCTGTGGCTGCCTGTGGCTCTTGTGATGACTTGGCTTCTGGCGTTGTTTCAGTCCTGATGGAGCTCTTCAGTGTGGGAACATGGATGATCCCGTACCAAGATTTGTTGGGAAGCTGAGGGGGTGGCGGTGCTGGTGAAACTGGTTCTGGCTCTCGGCTTCACCATTGAGGACTTGATGAAAGAAGACACCATCATCTACAGCTACGACGTTGCAAAGAGCCCAGAGAGCTTGGAAATGCCGAGTTTAGGCCGTGTTCAGGCCCTGTTCATGCATGAACTTGCATTTGATTTGTTCAGCAGATACTTTCCCGTGTACCTTTGGAAAGTCAGCTGACTGGGGTGCATGGCCACATCCCTGAAAATCACTCATCAAATAAAATCACGTTTTTTTATTATTTAATTGATATCTAATGTTTCACAATGTGACAATGTCACAATGTTTCACAACTTCACAACATAGAAATCGATTCACTCAGAGCTTTGCGGCTTTGCATTGAGCTCGATTCCCTCGATGGTTTGATCCGATCCGAGTCCGAGGTGTGGATACCAAGCTCCATTCGATGGGCATCTCGGTGGGACAACTACCTGTGGCTCAGCTGCAATTCGAGCAACTGGAGCGGAACAATTGGAGAGTTCAGGAACAACAGGAAGAGCAGGAAAAACAGGAACAAGAATGGGGTGCAATTGTGCGAAAAAGAAAGGTGCAACTGGGTGCAATGATCGTATCTCAATATATTTCATGAGATTTCTAGATTCTGAAAGATCATGGGAATCTTGTAGAGCTTCAACTTTGCTCCAGCAGCTGTGAATTGTGAACTCACAGGAAAATGCATGAAGGACAGATTCACTGGCCTGGGCCTGAGAAGTTGTTCGTATGGATTGAAATGACATAGGACTCAGCACACTTCTGTGAAGATCCATTTGAGGCTCAAAGGATTCCAAACTATTCCATATCCAAGAGTGTGCGCTAGTAGAATTGTAGGGTTGCTTCTCACTTAGTTTGGTTCTGCGACCTGGGTAATTTCATCACCTGTCAAGAGAAAGTGGAGAGCAGTTGCTCCCCCATTTCACCGAACAAGACATATTTAGTAAGCGGACTTTTCGCTGCATGAGGTTTTCTATCGTCAACTCCCTGATGATTGTTCTCCGTCTGCATTTTTTTGGCCTTTACATTCACATTACATTCAATGCTGCGAGAGACAGAGGGAAAGAGTGAGAGAGAGAGGTAGGGAGAGATAGAGAGAGAGAGACGGAGAGAGAGAGAGACAGAGAGCCAGTTAATCTGTTGATGTTGCACGAAGCCACAGAATGACTTTGGAACCTGGAGGTTGTTTTGTCCAGTTCAACATTAGGTTGAACAAGGGCGCCTTTTTTGTCAGGTGCTTTTCTTGTCCGGCATGGTGGCCATGATTTTGCTGAGAACTTTGCATCGAACCTGGGCCACGCAAGTGCCGTTGGTGGTTGCTGTATCAGCAAGTCTGTTGTGGAGGTGCTCATTTGTGATGCGCAGGTCTCCATCCAAGTGTGTTGGGAGGGCCTTGACAGACAACCTGGCTCTAGTACATGGGTTGGTTACCCCTATTCCAACGGTATGGTAGCGTGCGACAACATTTCCTCGCAGAGCAGTGAATGAAGCGGCTTTCCAAAGATTGCTTGGCACAGATTTAGGTGCAAAAGGGTTTGAAGGAGCAGCATTGGGACAAGGGTTATGCCTGGTGATGTGCTAAGCGTGGCAGCCTGGCTGATCAGACTTTCAACCTGAGGAGACATTGCCAAATACAACGATATGGATGCCGATGACTCTGGTGAGGACGAACACATCGTACTTCTAAGCGTTGAGTAGTTTGCATTCGTTTTGCCAGCTCGCTGAAACTACACTTTTTTGGTTCCTTGAGGAGACAGGTTGGAAACTTGTGCATGGAGATGTTTTCAGAAAGCCGCCACACTCGAAGGCTTGTCAGTCTTTGATATTTTTGAGCAAGCAGCAAGAACATATCAATAAAATTCAAGCATTGCTGCGAGCTATTTTTTTTTTTGAAAGCGATTTGCAGGGCTTGAAAAAAATTGGATGTGGTTGAGGAAGCCCAGCCTACTTCAAACGACTTCAACATCCTACTGAATCCTACTGATACTTTCATATTCTTAATACCTCCACATCCTGTGACCTGGGCCAAACTCCAAAGTCCTCATTGTTTGCATCGACCGGAAGGCTTTGGCAGTTTCAGTTGGTTCGGGTGTACGGTCCCCAGACTACAGACGCTCGCGGAGTCACCTTGGCAGGGCAGGGCAGTCTGCATATTGCTTGCCCAACTTTTGTATTGCTGTATATTGCTGTATTGCTTGATATTGCTTGTGTATTCTTTACACTCTTTAGGATTCTTTATATACATTGTATACATCTTTTGACCGTCTTTTAAGCATAAGTTTGTATCAGTCATTGACAGCACCTGCAGCTCCAAGGTCCAGTTGTTGGTTTGCTCGTGCGTGACCCTCGTTTTCTCCGCCATTGGATTCCTGTCTCCAGTACATCGTGGCTCTATCCTTCAGGCCGATAGGACCGACCCCAACAGTCCCATACATCGATAGGATTTAGGCAATTTAGTGATGTCAGACTCTGTCAGACTGGCAACAATTTATGGCAATTTATGGCAATTCAGTCCGCTGAGTCAGTGCTGTTTCAGTGCTGTTAGGGGATGCTTCTGCTCTTCACCTTTGCGGGTATTCTTGCAGGTGCGATGCTGTTTTGAGCTTCACAGTTTGCTTTTGATGTCGTCATTGCCTCGACGCACTTTGTCTTTACCTGAGATATCCTGAGATTATCATGATTAATTGCTTTATTCTGCTTTTAAGCCTACCTGTTTTATCTACTTTTTGACCTCCTTGATGGCTGGGCTGATTTGCAGGCTACACTTCAGCTCGTTTCTACAAAATGTGGAAGGGTGAGGTCCGGGTCCAACACAACACTGTCTCAGTGAGTGCAAATCTGATACACAAAAGAGCTTGGTGAGTCGTTGCTGAGCGCCAAGGATTGGAAGAAAACAACGCTTCTGACTGCCTTCTTGTCCCCTCGACATACTTTTGCAGCCAACGTATATCTTTACATTACTTATTTATATAATTTTATATACATCAATTAGTTTTGCTGAGTCTTGCCTTCGGTCTGGACAAAGGTATCCTGGAACGGTGTTCTGCATTTTCTTCATTCTGGATTTGTTCATTTGGGGCCAAGCGCTTAGAGAAAAGTCAAGTACGGGCAAGATTCTCAAGATGTGACAATTCGCATTTGATGCGGATGAAATGAATCCAGCGAGGTTTTCACGATTGCTTCGCATAGCCAGCAGTTTCTTTGATTCGAGGCACAAAGTCCTCTGGAGCAGTGCCATTTACAACGATGTTTGCGTTGCTAGTTCTTTGGTGACTTGGAGCTGTATTATGAGGTGAAAGAAGGTGTCGTTTTTGGAATGTGTAGACAAGGCAAGAAAGCAAGCACGAAGGGAACATTTTCTACAAAAGCAAATACATATTTGAAAAGCATCATGGACAGCAGAGAAGACGAAAACCTGCAACTGGACGTTGGTCTATAGGATTTGTGCATCTTCTGAAGTGAATCTAGGTTTGGGATTTCTGTGCCACTGGTCTTTCTTGGCGCTTTTTTTGGCTACAAGAAGGCATTGATCGTGGAAGCCATTGACATTTTTTGACGCTATCCAATACTATCCATAGCATCTCAGGGCTTGGACATGGCTGTCACAGTTTCGCTGCATTTCTTGCACTGCATATCTCATCATATCTCATCGAGAATCTCAACTAACCTCCAGGCGCCAATCTCGCTGCCAGTTCGAACAAATCAGATCCCGCGGCAAGTCCCAGCGCAGCCTTGGTATATCACTGGAGACCTGCACTCAGCGATAGGCAGCGATAGTCAGCGATAGTCAACGATAGTCAGCGATTCGAGATGAGGATTATGTTGAAGATAAAGAGAAATCGCATGGAAATCATGGAACAAGAATCGAGAGACATTGAGTAGTGACTGAGTAGTGCATGTAGTGTTGTGCATTCAGAAATTCTGCACCGAGACCTTCTCGTGCCTGGTGGGTGGTGTTCTTCCCTTCGCTGGAGTACCTGTGTTTGCAGCAAACATCAGATTGACAATGGCTTGACAATTGCTTGACAATACGTGGAAGTGGGAGGTCCTTCAGGATTCAACGTTTTTCAGACAGCTTGTGCTTTGATAGGAGAACACCAGTTTGAACTCCAATGTAAAGACGGCGTTGTTCTGCAAAGGTATTCACTGAGCTCTTCTTCATCATGTCCTCAATATGGCAGCATCAGTCTGGAACTGAATCATTAGACTTCGCATGTCATAAGTACGATTTTGCCGCCTGTTCGTTTCCTGAGTTTTTTTATGGTGAAAGTTGTGCTGGAATTTCAGGTTCTACTATTTGTTCGGCTTTCTTATGCTGGTTCTCGTCATCCTTGTGGTGACCTGTGCTGAAATATCTATAACGCTGGCCTACTTCCAGCTCACGAACGAGGTGGAAAATGCTTGGTGTATTGTTGTGGTGGTTCATTACAAAGCGGAAGCATGAAAGCATGACTGATAACAGAGCCCGGAAACTAGGAGATAAAGAAGAAATGAAACGTGTCCGCTAGAAAGTAACCTCAGCAAAGACAGAGCAATGCGTAGACAAAAGTACAGAATCTTGTCTAATTTTGACAAAAGAGATGTAGTGCTCAAATTGTCAAAAGCAGAAACTTTGCACATGAGGACTCAATGAGGACCATTTAGGATATTTATTGACAACATCCTGGGAGCAAATGAGCAGATAGATCAGATAGAATCAAAGCTGAAGTCTCATCTCTGTGAATCGCCGTTTATTCTCCTTGGAACTTGCAGAGAGAAACATGTGTAAAATCAAATCAAAACATGACTCATTAGAATCAGATTATAGACAATGTGGTATCGCTTTGCTCTATGCATGCTTTTCCCGTGGTACGACGGTACGACATCTGATCTCAGTAGACAACTGGTTTTGTTGAGGAGAAAGAAACCATAAGACGTTCCTCATCCAAATCGCTGGAGCAACGTCTGTGGTGCAAGGACTACAATTGGTGGTGGAGGTCCTTCTTCACCAGCGCATCCTCAGCTCTTTATGTGTTTGGTTATTCATGCCAGATCCTTGACAAGTCGAGATGAGTCACACGTAGTCAGGCATGAGTCACGCATGAGTCAAGCATGACTCAAACGAGTGGCAATGACTTACGAGTCTTCCAGAAAGGCTTCATGGAAGTCTTCCTGTTTTAAGGCCTGTATTACTTTACGCGGATGAAGCTGGAATCTCAATTTGACATAAAAACCCAGGCTGTTTGGAGTTGGATTGAAGCTGAGGATTGGGCACTACGTTGGTGCTCTTCTCTATTTTGGATACATGTGCTCTCACTTAGATGGAAAGATGTCGTGCAAAGAATGACTTGCATTCAACATGATGCACCTAATTCTGATTGGACCTACATTTGAATTTTGCGTCATTGAATCCAAGGTTTGTGATATCATACACATTTGCCTTGATCACTGGTGCAATTGGGTCTCTCGTCCTTAGATGATTTAGATGACAGCTGCCAAATAGGGCACTGAAGACAGATTTAGCAATCCTGTGCAGTGATGCAGCAGCAGATCAATTTTGTTATTTTGAAGACACGTCTTTCTTCAGTCCCTGAGTAGGGAGCAGATTTCCTAGGTTTAGTGCAACATTCTTCTTTGTGCGCGCGATCTATGGTGATGCTCTAAGTTTTCAGCGGTACATTATATATACAAAATATATATATATATATATACACATCCAATTGACTTCTTGTACCTCGTGATTCCAGCTTCCAAAAACTTGCAATTTCCATTCGAATGTCAGGCTCAATCAAAATAGATTGAAGAGATCGTCAAGGACTTGCCAGTGGAAGGGGGTAGTGTCGGTGATGTGGGTTGATGTTGAGAAGAGCCAGCTTGGATATTCACAGAGACAGACATTGGATCGAGTAGCCGCATTGTGTACCGCGACGACATTGAAGTCCGTGTTGCTTGTTGCTTGTGACTTGTTCTTGTTCTTGTTCTTGTTGTTGTTGCTGTTGTTGTTCTTGTTCTTGTTCTTGTTCTTGTTGTTGTTGTTGTTGTTGTTGTTGTTGTTGTTGTTGTTGCAGTAACATTTATGGATGCTGATGCTGATGATGATGCTGCTGCTGATGATGATGACTAGTTTTTTTTCCTAACCCCGCAAGGTCCTGATGTCGTTCCTGTGCTGAATGAAGCAAGCGGAACGTCTGAGTCAGCTAATGAAGCAGGTCGAAGCAGTGATCTGAAGCATGCATCAAACATTGTCAAGCATGGCATGTGTGACTGCAGTCTAGAGGGATGACACTTTTGTATAGTCTTGTGATGTCTTCAGTGGTCAGACATCAGACAGTCTTATCAGGCTATATGGCTATACGCCAATCCAACTGCTTTGCAAAGATTGTGAAACTTTGCAAAGATTGTGAAGTGCCTCTCTGAGAAACTTTCTAGACTGCCTCCCTGTCAGATCCGAGTAACTCGCTGGCTAATCAGTCAGTGAGTCTTGAGTCTGAACCGTATGCTCATGCCGTCAGTATGACTTCCTCTTGGACTGCAGCGCAGCGGTCTGGACATCAACGCAAATCGTTGTAGGCAGAAAAAAGCTGCAACAAATTCAAAGAGCAATGCTTGACTGGATCAAATTGCTATTGGTGGCATCACTCCAAATATGGTGGATTACCACTTACACTTTTCTGCCGCGCACGAACCGCAGCCAAGGTACCATGGTAGATCAGTTGCAAAGTCTGCACACATAATTTTCAAGCATTCAAACAAATCACCAATACTTGATTCAATATCCAATCAATTCTTACGTGAACGTTGCTGTTGGCTTCTACACTTTAATCTTTCAGTGTTTTTTTTGGTCTCACAAAGCTTTCTTGGCTGCGGATTGGAATTCTGGCTCTTGTACTTAGCGAAGACAAAGTGGAAGTCTACTCACTCTACGCACATGGATTTGTTGTGATTCCTTTTCTCAACTGTTGATCTTGATGTCCGGTGGTGGCAATGACATTGCGATCGATTCCAGTCATGAGCTGATCACTTGTCAAGATGGTGGATTGTTTCATCTTCAAATCACATGTTTTTGCCTTGTTTTTGACAGCCTTGTTTCTGAGGCTGTCGCAGAAGGGAATCACGCGCTTGTTGTGCAGGTTTGTCCTGCACAGAAATGAACTCAAAACTATCTAGTTTCAATGCAGCTTATGCCATTGCGTTTCCCACCTTTTACCATGTTTTACCTACATATATATATAATTACACATATATATATAATTATATATATATAATTATATATATACATAATTATATATATAATTATATATCATATATGTTTTTTTTTTAAATATAATCAGAGTTTGCAATCCATCGCTAAGTCTAAGGGGCAGATTGAATGGCTGTGCCCATTCTTCGAATCTTTGCTGTTGCAGGTCGCTGTCGGAAAAGCTCATGCGCTTATGTTGACTGATGAGGGCGTCATCTACAGCTGGAGTTCTAAGCCTGTTTGTTATTTGGAACTGAGTGAACTACGTTGAGGTGTCGCATCCACCTCCAGGATTTTTATTCTAAACATATTGCCAATTATTTTGAAATTTTTGAATGATTGATTGCACGCTAGAGATGACAATCTGTAACTATCGAAGATGGCAGGGGACCGAACAATGACTTCGGCCAGCTTGGACGTGTTTGCAGCACTCAGGCAAGTAACTGCAGGTGTCTTAGTGTAGCACAGTGAGCACGTTGCTCCCACTCATTGAGACCAGTGCCACAGGACAAGATGTTGCTGCCCAGCCCAATCACTGCAGGTATTAAGCATAAAGCTCAGAAAGCGCAAGCAATTCTCGTGGCTTTTTGTTTGGTTTGCCCTGCTCAAGCCCACTTTTGAGTTTATAAGGCAGGAAATCATGGTGCAGATTGCCTGCGGTTCGAAACCATGCTGCAATAAGTGCTTTGCAATTTGAAGGTGCATAAGCACTGAAAGCACAGAAATGTACAAACAACAGGCAAGCAGGTGTAGTGGGACTGGAGGTTTATAAACACCTTCACAGCCAACTGACAAGCAAAAAAAACATACGTCCTTGCAGGTTTTGACTAAACAATTGGGTGGTTTCTGGCCAAAGCATATGCCAAAGCGTCCATGTTTCCTTGCCTTGAAGGAATCATTGTCTGGCTTTGACCCAGAAGGGGGCTATTTTTGCCTGGGGCCAAAACAAGGCGAACACCTGAGGGACAGCCTTGACTTCGACCCAACATATCCGGCTTTCAGTCAGCTTTCAAGCGGCTTCCGCACCAAGTTGTCTCTCCAAGGCTGGGCAGCTTGGAGTGGATGGATTCAACATCCATGCGCCTCTCACTGAACTGGTTCGGACCTTTGCTCCTTTGTTGGGCTTGTTCGGCTTGTTCAAGACACCCTACTATGGAAGTTTAGTGGTTTTGGTGCTGATGTCAGGCTGTAAATCTTCCAACACCGGTGAAGTTCTTCAATGGTCAGGCCCAAACCGGACATCCTGTGTCTTTCCGTGTTAGTGCCTGTTTATGACATGATACCCTTTGCTGGAAACGCTAGGAGGGAGCTCTTTGCGCAAGAAGCTGTAGCTGTGGCCCTGAGAGTTCTGCCTGCGTGACTGTGCGGGGAGAGGCCGTGTGCTGCATTGAATCCACGGGTGAACTCGGTGAACTGCAGAGTGCAGCCAAGCGCAACACAAAGTGCAACACAGGTTTACGCTTGGGGAGCAATCAGCAGCCTGCTTACTTGGGTCTGTCTTGTATCAAGTGGTTGCAATCAGCCAAGCCTCAAAGCTTCATTTGGCTTTGTTTGTAAAACTGGAACCTTTTACATGACATGCATATACTGTCAAAATCTCAAAGGCTACTATTTGATGGGCGCTGAGAAGAAGTATGGTGCTGGTGAAAATTGCACAGTGTGAGACCTAGTGCGTCGGGTAAATCACTAGCTGCCCTCTATGACTTGTGAACTTGTTGCTTAAAAAGCGCTTGAAGTTAATGGCTCTTCTTCTTGTCTTCAGCCAAAGGCAAGACATTCGTTTTTGGGATTAGGGGAGACAGGCACAACGGCTGTCGCTAGTGTTTGCAAGTAAATCGCCAGAGACAGGACTCATGAGCCACCGACGATCAGTTCCCATGCATTGTGTTCGGTTAGCTTGTTCCCTTCAATTCTGCTATTCCATTTCTGCTATATTGTGCAGGGGCCATGATGGTCTACCATATTGGTTTGTTATGTCCTTTCTGGCGGCCGAGTTTCCTGGGTAATTCAGCAGAGTTTGCCTTCCCGTGCAGCTAGACACTTGCTCTAGGACAGCCTTGGAAGAGTATACCAGTAGTACTGCACAAGGCGGTGGCGGAAGTCTCAAAAATATGAAACCTATAGGAGAGAGGTTGGTTGTTGTGAATCACTGATGGCAGAGCGAATCCACTGATAGACCGAAAGGTGGTTGGAGTTGTATTTTTTGGAGTGGCTGCAATGGTTGCAGTGGTCACCTCACCCACAACTGCTGGATGTAGAGTGGTGTAGTGCAGCTGTAGTTGTAGTTGTAGTGTAGTGTAATTGCAGTTGCAGTTGTAGTTGTGGTGTGGTGTAATGAGTGTAGTGAAATGTAGTGTAGTGTAGTGTAATGTGCCGCAGTGCTGCGTGCTGCAATGTAGTGTAGTCTAGTCTAGCCTAGTGTAGCGTGGCGTGGCGTGGTGTAGTGTGGTGTAATGGAGTGTAGTGTAGTGTAATGTAGTGTAGTTGCAGTTGTAGTTGTAGCTAGTGTGATTAGTCTAGTGTCGTGTAGTGCAACTTAGTGGTAATTACAAGTGTAGTTGCAGTTGTAGTTGTATTTGTACTTGTAGTGTACTGCACTGTAATTAGTGCAGTGTAGTGTAATATGGTGTAGTTGATATTGTTGTTGTAGCTGTGGTAGTTGTAGTTGTAGTTGCCGTGTGAACAGTGTAGTGTAGCGTAATTAGATGTAATTAGTGTAGTGTAGTGTAGTGTAACTAGTGTAGTGTGATGTAGCCTAGTTTATTTGCATTTGTAGTTGTAGAAGTAGTGTAGTGTAGTTGTAGTTGTAGTTGTCTATGTGTCTATCTAACGCTCTATCGATGTATTGATGTATCGATGTATCGATGTATCGATCTATCGATCGACCGATCGATCGATCGATCTATCTATCGATCGATCGATCTATCGATCTATCTATCGATCGATGGCTCGATCTATCTATCTATCTACCTATCTATCTATCTATCTATCTATCTATCTATCCTATCTATCCTATCTATCCTATCTATCCTATCTATCCTATCTATCCTATCTATCCTATCTATCCTATCTGTCCTATCTATCCTATCTATCCGATCTATCCTATCTATCCTATCTATCCTATCTATCCTATCTATCCTATCTATCCTATCTATCCTATCTATCCTATCTATCCTATCTATCCTATCTATCATATCTATCATATCTATCTTATCCATCTTATCCATCTTATCTATCTTATCTATCTTATCTATCTTATCTATCTTGTCTATCTTGTCTATCTTGTCTATCTTATCCTATCTTATCTATCTTATCTATTTGATTTTTCTTATCTATCTTATCTATCTTATCTATCTAATCTATCTGATTTTTCTTATCTATCTTATCTATCTTATCTATCTAATCTATCTAATCTATCTAATCTATCTAATCTATCTAATGCATCTAATCTATCTAATTTACCTAACCTATCTAATTTGTCTATTTTATCGAATTTATCTAATTTTTCTAATTTATCTATTTTATCGAATTTATCTAATTTATCTGATTTATCTACTTTATCTGATTTATCTAAGCATTCTATCTATCTATCTATCTATCGATCGATCGACCCATCGATCTATCTATATCTATGTATCTGTCTATATCTGTCTATATCTGTCTATCTATCTATCTATCTAATCTTTTCTAACTTATCTACCTAATCTTTTCTAACTTTTCTATCTAATCCTTTCTAACTTTTCTATCTAATCTTTTCTATCTTTTCTATCTAATCTATCTATCTGTCTATCTGCAATCTGCAAGCTTGAAAGCGAAGCAATTCTGCGAGACTTCCTCAATTTTTGAGGTTGGCAACATCAAAACCGAAGCAATTCTGCGAGACTTCCTCAATTTTTGCAGTTGGCAACATCAAAAATGAAGCAATCCTGCGAGACTTCCTTCAATAAGGGAAGTTGGATGCAGACCTGACGGCCTCGTACCAATGCGTTTTGCGATTTTTCCAGTCCATGTCTCTGAAGTATTGCGCCTGCCACGAAAAAGTGATGCCAGGTCATACAAAGTGCTGCACCTGTCACACAAAATGATCTTGGGTGCTCCAAAATGCAACTCCTCTCAGGAAATCAGCTCCCTGACTTCCTAACATCTCTGATGAACATGTCTGTTGTACTGCGCCTGCCACAGAAAATGCATCTTGCCAGATCCTCTGCACATGTCCCACGCCTGTCAACACTTTTGAAACTGCTACAAAACCTTCACGTTTTGCTCACTTTTGGCAAGGTGCCGAATCCCTTGCACCTGCCAGGCGAAACGACATCTGAACGTCCAAGAGTGGTCCGAACATGTGGTGTAATTAGCGTAGAGTAGTGTAATGTAGTGTAGTTGTAGTTGTAGTTGTAGTGGTAGTTGTAGTTGTAGTCGTAGTCGTAGTTGTAGTTGCAGTCTAGTGTAGTGTAATGTAATTAGTGTAGTGTAGTGTAATGTAATGTAGTTGTAGTTGTTGTTATAGTTGTAGTCGTAGTTGTAGTTGTAGTGTAGTTGTAGTTATAGTTGTAGTTGTAGTTGTAGTGGAGTGTAGTGTTGTGTTGTGTAGTGGGGGTTGTAGTTGTAGTGTAGTGTAGTGTAGTGAAATGAGTGTATTGTAGTGTTGTGTAATGTAGTTGTAGTAGTAGTAGTAGTAGTAGTAGTTGTAGTAGTATTAGTATTAGTAGTAGTAGTAGTAGTAGTAGTAGAAGTAGTAGTAGTAGTAGGTAGTAGCAGGAGTAGTAGTAGTAGTAGTAGTAGTGGTAGTGGTAGTGGTAGTAGTAGTAGTAGCAGTAGTAGTAGCAGTAGTAGTAGCAGTTGTAGCAGTAGTAGTGGTAGTGGTAGTGGTAGTGGTGGTGGTGGTGGTGGTAGTATTAGTAGTAGTAGTAGTAGCAGTTGTAGTAGTAGTAGTAGTAGTAGTAGTTGTAGTAGTAGTAGTAGTAGTAGCAGTTGTAGTTGTAGTTGTAGTTGTAGTCGTAGTTGTAGTTGTATTTGTGTTTGTAGTTGTGTTGTAGTTGTAGTGTGTGGAGTGGCTTGTAGTGCAATGTTGTGTAGTGGAGTTTGTTGTTGTACTTGTAGTGTAGTGTGGTGTAATGTAGTGTAGTTGTAGTTGAGTGTAGTATAGTGTAGTGTAGTGTAGTGTAGTGTAGTGTAGTGTAGTGTAGTGTAGTGGTGGTTGTAGTTGAAACTGCTACAAAGCCTTGACGTTTTTGCTCACTTTTGATCCCTTGTGCCTGGCACACGAAACCGCATCTGAGTGTCCAAAAGTGCCCCGTACCCGTTAGTTTTTTGCACTTTTGACTTGGACATGTGCTTCGCGCCACAACGGTGCTCCGAACGTGAGGGATTTTTAGTTTTTTCACTTGCAAATGTGCTTCGCGCCACAACGAGGTGCGCTTTTTAGACATCTCAACTTACAAAAGTGGTCCGAGCATGGTGTGTTTTGTACATTTTGACTTGGAAATGTGCTTCGCGCCACAATGGCGTGCAATTTTTCATCTCTCATCTGGCCAGCTGGCTCCGCACCCACCGTTTTAGCGAGCCTACTTTTCGACCCTCCGGAGCCACAAATCAGTGGAATCGCGACTTTTCTACCTTTTCGCACACTGGATCCTCTTTCTTTCTTCTGAATTTTTCTTCTTTGATCTTCTTTCTTCTTCTCCTCTCTTCTCTGACTCTTCCCATCTCTGCTGCTTTTCATGTGTCCATATTGTCGGAAGTTTGACTTCTAAACTTCCTCCGGGAATTAGATTTGCCAGATTTGACCCAACACTCGGAAACTCTCGGTCACCAATGACATGAGACCTGTGGAGCTTCTGTTTGAGAATGTCTTGAGAAACACCCAGCTGAGGTCCCTGTTTGCATCAAGGATTTGCCTAAAGAACTATGCGCTGATGAGTCTGGACCAGATCAGGCCCAGCCAGGGACTGAAAATTCGAAACCACCTTCTAGACAGCGAATCCATGGATAAGATTGAAGAAGGAAGTGTTTGAATCTAAACACTTCCGAGAGCGAAATAATTTCCACCCCGTGCTGATATATCTTATGTGAACGAGGAATCCATTGCGAATATTATCTATGCTCCATGGAATCGTGCATGCCCACAGGATTCACAGCAAAATCAATGAAATTAATTGATATATATATATATATGTATGTATATATATATACAGACAGATAGATAGATCAATCCATCGATCGATCGATCGATCAGATAGATAGATAGATAGATAGAAAGATAGATGGATGGATGGATAGATAGACAGACAGACAGATAGATAGATAGGTTACATAGATTAGATAGATTAGATAGATTAGATAGATTAGATAGATTAGATTCGATAGATTAGATAGATTAGATAGATTGGATAGATTAGATAGATTAGATAGATTAGATAGATTAGATAGATTAGATAGATTAGATAGATTAGATAGATTAGATAGATTAGATAGATTAGATGCATTAGATAGATTAGATAGATTAGATAGATTAGATAGATTAGATAGATTAGATAGATTAGGTAGATTAGGTAGATTAGATAGATTAGATAGAATAGATAGATTAGAAAGATTAGATAGATTAGATAGATTAGATAGATTAGATAGATTAGATAGACAAGATAGATAAGATAGATAAGATAGATAAGATAGATAAGATAGATAAGATAGATAAGATAGATAGGATAGATAACATAGATAGGATAGATAACATAGATAGGATAGATAGATAAGATAGATAGATAGATAGATAGATAGACAGACAGATAGATAGATAGATAAATAGATAGATAGATAGATAGATAAATAGATAGATAGATACATAGACTACATATTATATACCATTTGGAACAAACTGCTACCAACGGCTCGCTTTTTATGATTTGGGCTTATTGCTTTTTGCTTTTTTGCTGTGAAAAACTATTCAGAGAATCTTGGAAACTAGTTTTCGAATCTGGGAAACCTTTTACATTGCATTGGAAGGGTTTGTGCCTGCAAAACTTGCCGATTATTGGCCCTTTTGAGAGCGGAAATAATTCAAATGGTTTTCAATTTGCCGGACTGGATTTTTGAAGCCGTCCGTGAGTATCATCTTGGAAGCTGTTCTGAAAGGTTCCGAACGGTCAGAAACGGTTTCTGACGGTTTCTGTGTCGAACGGTTCCGAACCGTCAGCAGCGTTTTCATGGAATCATGGCGCGGCCCCTGTTAATTAGAAAAATAAATTTGAACCAAAATTCCTGACAATTAAAGAACCCAAAAACTTCCAATAAATGAAAATAAATTCTAGGATTTCCTAAATATTTTTGCCCAACAAACAAAGAGACAGCCGTTTATTCCAACTAAATTAGATTAAATTATATTGTATTATATTGTATTGTATATTGACATGATATATTGACATGATTTTCGCACATATATTTATGTATGGATGATATATTGATATGATTTTCGCACATATATTTATGTATGGATGTAACGGATGCAATGCAACGCAAGGCAATGCAATGCAATGCACTGTCATGTCAATGTAATGTAATGCAATGTAATGTAACGGATATGTGTATGTATGAACTACGTACGTGTATGTATGTATAATGTAATGCAACGCAACACAATGCCATGCAATGCAATGTAATGTAATGCAATGTAATGGAAGGTACTGTAATGTAATGAAATGTAATGTTTGTACATATTCCCATGTAATATGTAACATAGCGCAACATGTAATGCAATGGAATGCAATGGAACGCAATGCAAGGCAGGGCAACGCAAGAAAACGCAAGGCAACGCAGCGAGCCGCAGTACAACGAAGCGAAACGTAACATAACGTAACGGAAGTGTCTACATAATATGTTTGTCTGTCTGCCTGCCTGGCTGGCTGTCTGCATGTCTGGATGTCTGCATGTCTGCCTGTAATAATGTATGGATGCATGCATGCATGCATGCATGGTACGTACGTACATACCCAAGTATGTAGGTATGTATGTAGGTTGGGGTGCAGAGTTACTTTTTACATGTTTTTACTTAGATATTCTTGCTGCCAACACTTGAACGTGTGGGTGACTTGTGGCTGGAGACTGGCAAGCTGCCATGTTCTTGTGACATTGCCACGGTGTGCAGGTTTCCCTTTACAAGGACTGAGTTGGTCTAGGGGGGCCTGGTCTGAATCGGAGAAGCGGCTAAGAAGCACAGCAGCAGATGTTCCGACCTTGTAGAGGATAGCATGGCTTGCAATGTCGCGTTTCCACCTCAGCATTCTTTGCCTTTGAGCTGTTTGCAGGCTCTTCCATTTTGTATTCGCTTCTTTTGAGATGTTTTTGCAATTTTTTCGCTGTATACATGTATTATATATACATACTCAGATGTCATATGTATATAAACATGTTTGAATCAGATGTGAAAAATGAAGAACTTCTCGGCTTCAGGAAGCTCAACAGTGAAGATGACATGGCAAGCCTGGTGCGATCGTTAAAGACCCGATCTTCCCAAGCAGCAATCCCAGTAATTGGTCAAGAGCGTATTTTGACATCATCAGTCATATAAGTCCTCATTTTTTCATTGCAAATAGGCATGATATCCCTCTTCTGTCGAAAGTTCTCGCCATAAGGGTTAGCAAGAAGCTGAGCGGTTTCCTTGGTTCTTCATGGTTTTCTATGCAGCATTTGCTGAGTTGCTCTCTGTCCTGCGAACAAAGAGGCAGGAAAAATTGAACAAAGAGGCAGGATTCAAAGCATTCTTGGACCTAATCCTCCTGCCAGGGCGGAGGCAAGCGATAGACCCACTGGAGGCGGTATCACCAAGACTCTTGACCATTGCGACAGCCACCATTCTTTGCAAATGCCTGATCAGTGCAGCTGCGATTCAGGAGAAGACGAATTTGACATTGAGGACTGCAGTCTTTGGAACTCATTTTTCTGACGTCGGCCCAGTGGCAGGCATCACTGGCATCACTGGCATCACCAGCAAACAATTCTATGTTTTATGTGAAAAAGGAGCTACGTCAGCTGAACCATGATTTTCAAACATCGAAGAAGGCAGGTGCTTTTGCAGCTCGCCGTGCAACAGAACGGATTTTGTTGCATATGTTGCATTCTGTTGAGCTCTGCTTTTGAGCGTCAGATGTGAGAGGCTCTTCAGAGCAAAATGGACGCGCTGGAGAAGGAGCCACAGCACTCAGCAAAGAACACATTTTTTTCATCTGAGGTGTTGAGAAATCAGTGTCCGAGCATGTCTGAGCCAAATTTTGTTTTAGTACGTGGGTCGAAGGATTTTTGAGTCTTTGCACCATTGTTGTGAGCGGAGATCGGCAAAAAGGACTCAAAGAGTTCAATGCTTGAAATCGTTCTCAGAGGTTTGGCAGCTACCGCACTGAGCTGGCCAGAGTGAAAAGGGAGTGGAGCTGGCACGGCAAAGACTCTGACTCAGAGCATCGCCAGAGCTGCACATTCTGCACGAATTGAGCCTTCTCCACTGCCTCAACATGCCAGGCTCACAGTGTGCGACCAGCAAGATGCAGCCCTCACTGAGACAGCACGAAATTTGGAGGCTAGTTGGCTAGTTGCCCTTGCAGAATGCCATGATTTGAAAGGACTTTTCCAATTCACTCTTCCTATCCCATGTAGATCGATTGGAACGGAAGCAGATCCCTGGAAGCTGCTGTTGGGTTGCAAAGCTGGATTAACTCATATTAATCAAGAATTTCAGAATTTCTGTTTGCTTGCACACACACACACAAAAGTAATCCCGCAGGCAAGAAAAGATCAAGTTGGAGACAGTGCAGCGTCGGGAACTCTACCTACTTGGAACTGGGTCTTTCTGTCCATGCGCCCATTATAGCCCGTTCGAAGCAGGATTCTTGGAGCCAACTCAGTTTTGTGATTCCTTGTCATTGCGTGCGCGTCGAGGGACAAGCGCACTTTGGAAACAAAGCTTCACGACATCAGTCACTTCAAGTCCTCCAACCAGCGAAAGAGGCTTCAGGTGCTGGGACCAAGGGTAGTCACTTGGGTAGTCACAAGTAGTGGCCCAGTGGCTTGAGAGTTCTTCAGTGTACCCAAGCAGGGCGAAGTACATACGAAAATCTCAGATCAATTAAGACTGTTTTCACAAGCAGTTTGACTGTTTTCCAGTGCAGTGAGCAATCTGCCCGGGCAAGCGTTCCTGTGCGCAGTTGCTGAATGATAGAGATGAGACGGAGCGTCAACTACTTCACCTGACACAGGCGCATTTTTACCTTGCCTTTGAAGGAAGCTCCTGCTCTACACATGTCTTTCAAAATCTCAGAAGGCATACGACAAGGTTTCAGGATTCGGTTCCTGAGATTTGAGAATCAGTAGTTGAACCAACGCTACCAGCGCACTGCTACCCCGACCGATGCTGCAGGCCCTTACTGTTGCTCTGAACCAGCAGCAACAGGTTTGGCAACGGAGCTGCTCTGACTGGACAACCCTGGTTGTAATATGTAGCAATACTTCGAAGACTCCAAGATCAATTGAGCACCAAATAGCATCATTTGCCAGATCTAGATAGACCTGTATAGTAGATCCAGAGTGGACCTGAAGAAGATCTTGTTTCGTGAAACGTCATAACTGATAATATCTGACAACGTACTGGGGGATATGATCAGATTTGGTCAGATTTATAATTCAAGATCTGGCACTGCAACCTCCTCAAGGAAACGCCGTACGTTTAGTCACTCACCATGAAAGTCCCACCTACTCCCAGCTTCGTGTACCAGATGCAGGGTGTTGTGCGATGTGTTACATTACGCTTGGAATTTTGGTTTGTTTGAGTCTCATATAGTTACACGGAAGGGCATTGTGTCGGATTTAGAGAGGCTTTCGATGGCTTTCTTCAGTTTTCGTTTTCCTAAGAGTCCAACCTTCGCCAGTTCGAGAGCCGAACCAGAATGATCCGCTCCCTCCATGGTGATTCAGGCGAGTCTGCAAGCCAGTCTGCACGTGCCACCTTTTCGAGAGTTTCAGCGAGACAAAAATTCCTTGTCTTGCTGGTCTTAATGCTACCGTGCAGTTTCAGGATGTTTCAGGTGTTTGCAGTCAAAATTGACCACTTGCCTCACGACATGCTTTTCTGAAGGCAGCAAGACGAATACCTTGGCCGTAGCCTCTGTTGGGCTGGTCTGCAGAATCGATCTAGAAATCGACCTCGAGAGATGCCTGTGCTGCGAACCTTGGACTAAGGATGAAAAGGGGCTGAAAGTCGCTGATGACAAGCGCAGAGTTCACATCTTGGACTTTCACATGACCTGTTGATGTTCCATGCGCTCCTTAATCCTGGTTGATCCTTCTTGATCCTAATCGCCCAAGGAGCTCGCAGCAACAGAACCAATGCAGCTTGCAGGATCTGGGCCTGGGACTAAATCTCTGAGCTAGTCACCGGATAGCGAATGTCAATTCATGTAAATACAGTTTGCACATGTTTGCACATATATATATATATATATCAAATAAATTCAAATAACATCAAAATCGAAAATACATGTATGCCGCATACCATTATAAGCCCTTTCGCATTTTCAGCTCAGGCGCTTTGACGGGCTGCACGAGATAGTAGAAATGTCGGATGGAGCCCTCCAGGTTCTGTGCTTACACCTGCAATCCAGTCTACACGCTCAAAAGAGGTCCCAAAATCGCAAACCCTTTCAATGAAAGACCCCGATGAGTCTCCAGATGTTTTGCATTGCAAACACTGTCTGCCTCAGGACGTTTCCAGCTCCCTAAAAGAGGCTCCTTCGCTCGTTTTGTGCAACTTCCCAAAATCTGATCTTAAAGTTCAGATAGGTGAAGTGTTGCTCGTTGTCATTGTTTTTGGTTGAGAGAAGTATTTTGGTTCATATCTTTGCATTCTGCAGTGCTAGAGCACCACCTGTTTGATTGCACTTGTTTTGTTGCTGCAATTTATCTTCACCAAATCAGGTGCGTCCTACCCTCAGCTAGTTTGATGGCGTGTCTTGCCAGTGCAAGACAGTCTATTTTTCATCATGTAAATTTCTTTTACAACGTATCTTTCATTGAGATTGACTCAGAGGTGCTGGAGCTGATGGTGACGGCGATGTGCTGGAACAGGTTCTGGAGGTGCATTTTCACTTCTGTGACTTGCCTTCGAAGGAAGTGTCAGAGCCCAAGAGCATGCCCGAAGGACAACCTTGAGATCAGGAAAGAGATCAATGCATTGATTCAGGCAGGACATTTGTGAACCGCAATACTGGTGGAGCTGCAATTTGTCTGAATGGCCAGGAGCGGAGGATTCGGGCTGAATGTGGAGCCTACGATGACACAGGCTACCAATGGCTGCCAATTGCTGCCAGCTCCATATTCAGCATGCAAGGGATGCAGAATGATGCATAACTGGCAGAGATACTGATCATTATGCAACTCAACTCAGCAGAATTTGCAGGCACTGACATTCAGGAGCAAGGCAGGGTGGTGCTCGGCACGGGCAAAGAGAAGAAGCACATCTTCTATACAGCTGCTACAGCTGTACAGGCCTTTTGCAATTCTTCAGCGAAGCAGCTCGCATTCAGCGATGATTGTTGTGGCCTGAGGATGATACCTGAGGTCATTAAGTGGTGGCAGTCGGGGGTGCGATGGTTGTTGGCTGAAGGGTGTAATTCCAGGGAACTGCGTCACTACCAGGGTGTGCTGGGCTGAGATGTGCTGAATATTGCATGGCACCAATTCACTGGGTGCTAAGGGAAGACAGCCTGGATCGACTCAGAAGCTCGCAAAGCCCTCCTGTACACAGGCGTGGACTTCGGTTGCACCAATCAGGAACATTTTACTAGTGGGATGTCAGGATGTCATGCCCCCGTCATTTGGTATAATTATAAATCTAAGCACCACTGCTATAGGTTTCGATGCAAGTCAGTCAATCAGTACCCTAGCAGCCAGTTAGTTGTTGCAGTTGTTACTTTGTTTATTCCTTTCCCTGTGGGGCGGGCGGACTGCCTCGCCAGCCGCGCAGGTTCAAACACATAGCACATCTCCAAAGTGGGATTTGCAGATGGCACGATTCGCACCAACATGTTCTCGTTGCTTTAGTCTTCAGTGACTGAATACCAGTACTGCAAGAAATGCGCTTCGATGCCAGGGCTTCTTGCTTTCAAATGTCTTCAGATCTTGGAATTTAGAATCGACTTAAGATCTTGGAATCTGGAATCAGAAAGGTGGCTCTGAGAGAAAGTCGTACAGGTCTTACATCCAGGAAATGGCATGCCTGGTCCCCAAAGTAGAAGCAAATCCAGATACGGCTTGTTGGAAACGGCTTGTTGTCATCATCCTAAATACCGCTATACAAGAACCCGTACTATGCTGCACCCTTGCTTGTTCGCCGGCGTTGAGCAGTTGGTTGAATGAGTGGAATGTGTGTCGCATTGCGCAGCATGTTCAGTATCAAACCCAAAGTCAACGTCTAGCCAATGGGTGTTGTGGGAAAGATTTGGGATGTGGTATCCTGCCAACGACGTAGTAGCGGCCTTGACAATTGTACATTGAGTCCTTGTGTTACAATGTGTTACTATTTCTTCGGCAAGTGCACTCAAGGTTGGCAATTACTCAACTCAGGAGTGCCTCCTGCCAATGCTGAAAAATCTGAGGGCGTGCCGGCCTTGAGCATGGAATGAGTCGGAATGAGAGATATCTTTGCTGTGCTTCAGGGATATTTTGAGTGCACTTTCACTAGGCTAAAGTTTCAACTGAGACAGAAGGCCAGACAGGCACCTTGGACTAGCTGACAACTCGGACTAAACTTAGTGCAAAGTTGGCCTTCCTGCAATCGTAGCCCTTGAGTTTTGACGTGGGAGGCCAATCAAAAGAAGAAGCGCAAGCTGCTGCCAAAGCCATGAAAGAAAAGGGAAATGAACTTTTTAAGAAGCTCCTTGCTTAGCTTGCTCTGAACTTCAGAAGAACACTGGGCCCTGTGTGAAGACTGTAAAAGGAACTTCTTTCTTGCACGCATACGAATTGGAGTTGAGCAAAGGAATGAGTTTGAAGAAGCGCTGTATATTTACACAAAAGCTGCAGTGGCCTACTCAGCACGCTCAAAGTCTGCAGGGCAGAACTGCGCAGCTTGCAGTCACCAACAAACAATTTTCAGATTGAGCCAGGAAATCTACAATTTCGATGCGAGCATTTGGTTGAATCGATCAATTTGCAACAGGTGCCGAACCAGACATGTTTACTTGCCAAGTTCGTGGTGAAAGGAAGCCAGCAGACAAAGAGTTGTAGCAAATGCACCAGACGAACTTCACCTCGACTTGTACACTTAGACTATCTTAATCTTGGACATACTCAGAGTTGTATTTGCTTGCAAGGAAGCTTGAAAACTGGGAAGATGCTGCGACGGATGCAGAGATCGCGCAAGAGATTGATCCACGCAATGTCAAGGTTGGTTTCTCAGTTCAGAATTGCCAGCCGCAAACACCTTGCACAAGGGGGATCAAATAGATGACGCGTGGACAAACGTTGTCAGAAGTGGTCAATACGAGCGGTATATAGACTTGTCGAAGGAAGTTTAGAAGTCAAACTTCCGACAATATGGACAGATAGAAAAGCAGAGGTGGGAAGAGTCAGGGAAGAGGGAGAAGAAGAAAGAAGATCAGAGAAGAGAAAGAGTCAGAGGAAAGAAGATGCAGGTGCGCGAAAGGGTAAAAAAGTTGCGATTCGCTGTGTTTTTCCAATGATTGGCGGCTCCGGAGGGTCGAAAAGTAGGCTTGCTAAAGCGGCGGGTGCGGAGCCATCTGGCCAGATGAGAGATGAAAAATTGCACGCTGGCGCGAAGCACATTTCGAAGTCAAAAAGTGTAAAAACTTGACGGTCTCGGACTACATTCCGAAGTTGAGATGTTGAAAAATTGCACGCTGTTGTGGCGCGAAGCACATTTCCATGTCAAAACGTTAAAACACCATATGCTCGGACCACTTTTAAAAGGTTCAGATGTGGTTTTGCGTGGCAGGCGCAAGGGATTGCGCACCTTGCCAAAAGTGAACAAAACATAGGGTTTTCTATGGTTTTCTAGCATTTCCAAAACCAATGGCAGGCGTCAAGAGGATCTGCAAAGATGCATTCCGCATTGCAGGTGCAGTACAAGAGACATGTGCAGCAGAGATGTCAGGAGGTCAGGGCGTTGATTTCCTGAGAAGGGTTGCATTTTGGAGCATCAGATCTTTAGGTTTGCTAAGATGATATGTGGACAGGTGCAGCACTTCGTGTGACCTGGCATCACTTTTTCATGGCAGGCGCAATACTTTAGAGACATGGACTGGAAAAATCGCAAAGCGCATTGGTACGAGGCCATCAGCTCTGCACTCCACTTTCCATTTTTGAAGGAAGTCTCCCAGAATTGCTTCGCTTTTGATGTTGTCAACTTCGAAAATTGAGGAAGACTCGCAGAATTGCTTCGTTTTTGACGTTGTCAAGTTGGAAATTTGTGGACGTCTCGCAGACTTGCGTCGTTTTTGACGTTGTCAACCTCGAACATTGGGGAGGTCTCGCAGAATAGTAGCTTCGTTTTCAAACTTGCAGATAGACGGATAGATAGATGGATAAATAGATAGATAAATAGACAACTCCATTTGCAACTGCAACTACACTACACTACCACTACGACTGCAAATGCACATAAACTACGCTACAGTATACGCTAATTGCACTACACTGCGCTAATTAAACTACACACTGCGCTACACTACACTAATTACAGTACACTACACTAATTGCACTACACTATATACACCAGTTACACTACATTACACTACACTACGCTACACTAGACTAACTACAACTACAGCTACGTACAGCTACAGCTACAAGTACACCACTTTACACTACACTAGACTACACTAGGCTACACTACACTAGACTGGACTAAAGCACACTACACTACACTACATTACACTACACTCATTACACCACACCACAACTACAACTGCAACTACACCACGCTAATTACACTACACTGCGCTACACTACACTACACTACACTACACTACGTTTCACTACACTCATTACACCACACCACAACTACAACTGCAACTACACACACTAATTACACCACGCTACAACTACAGCTACAACTACAGCTGCGCTACACCACACTACATTCAGCAGTTGTGGGTGAGGTGACCACTGCAACCATTGCAACCACTCCAAAAAATACAACTCCTACCACCTTTCGGTCCGTCAATGGATTCGCTCTGCCATCCCTTGTGTGGCACTACTGGTAAGGCCCCCACCGGACTCAGATAGAAATATTGATTTTCGTGACTTCCCAATTCTGCAAAGCAATCCCTGGGTTGAAAATGGTTTGTGTAGCTTGTCTCAGGAACTATAAAAAGAAACCCTTCAGATTTAGAAGGGCAGTTTTGACAGAATACATGGGAATCCGCATCTCCGTTCCCTTGGACCTTTGACTTACTCTTCTCGAGTTCCTGCTTCTCATCGCCTAGGCATATTACAACAGAGCTATTGCGTTGCAGCTTGGAAGTAAGGCGGAAGAGGCCCGAACCTCTAGGTTTCCCGAAGTTTCAGAGTAGGGTTCTCAGGGCACTGTAATTTGCATCCGCTATTTGAAAACCGTCCGCAGAAACATAAACGTGTTTCAGGGTGCTTTCATCATAATCCGATAGTTACCTTGTTTGTGCTGCACGTGCTGCTTTGTTTCTCAGTAATGCATAGAAATGCTGGCGGCTGTCACAATGGTGAAAAACTAGATGCTCTTGATTTGAGTCCTGTTTCAATCTGTTTCTAGATGTTTGCATGAAAACCTGAAGGCCTTGGAAATTTGCAAGAAAGGCCTGCAAGTGCAGGCGGATAACAAGGTGCAGAAGAGTTGGTGCATGCAGACCTGGGCTGGGACATCATTGGCATCGTGGAAATAATTCAAGAGACGGCTTTCAATGTGATGCAGCGACTGTACTTCAATGAAACTATTTTAATTGTTCCCGATTGTACTGTCTCAGCAGAACGGATTTTAGCTGGAAACAATAGAAAACACAAAGCCGAAGAATTTGTGGTTGAGATATTGTCAGACAAAATCACACCCCCAAAGCCTGCATGAAAAGGCAAATTGAAATAATTAGCAGCTAAACTCAGGTTGCATGAGCAAGGGTGAAACTTTGTCTACAGCTAGAGCGAGAGATATTTTGCATTTTGTCACTGCCTTCTTCATGCCTTGCCACATTTTCAACCCCCACCACTTTCCCATTTTGGTACAGGCCCTCCAGCAGCTCAGAAGTGATTTGCAAAGGACCATTGCAGAGGCCTCCGCCCTCTAATTGCAGAGCAGAATTGCTGAACTGAATGGCCCAACATATTCAAGATATCCAATTAGTGAACTGATTATACTGCCCACGATACTAAGCCGTACCGAGTGGTAGAAAATTGCCGGTGCAAGGCCCAAGCATGTCCTGGACAGATGGCCTCCAGCTTAGCGTCAGAGCAAAACCATCCAACCATCCAACACTTTTCACGACAAAATCACAGCACCAAAATCACATGTAACTTATCTACATATTCATATCTATGCTATGACATATATATATACACATACAATGCATGAACTGTGTTCAACTGTGTTGTTATGGTTTTCAGGCTCCAACAACTACAGCAGCGAAAGCAGAGATGTCTTTGGAAGAGGCAAAGACCGAGGTCAAAGAGCCTGTGTAGCCTTGCCATGTTAGCCATTCTCAGTTGATTCGTTTCGAGTCTATGTTTTGTTTGCCTCAGACAAGGTCGTAGGGAGAGAGTGGTTTGCTGCCCAGCAGTACGAAGTCTTTACTTTCACCTTCTTGGGCCAGATATTCAAAAGACGGTCAATATCAGTGGCAAAAGGGGAAGCCCAGCGAAAGAGAGAGGGAGGCAGGGTACTTTTTATCATTTTGCATTCTTTATATTTTTTGGTTGGTGGCCCCCGCCTCGGTTTGAACATTTTTGTACAACGCATCCGAAATGCTATGGAATCAAAGCTCTAGTGACTCTAGTCAACATAGATGTTCGTTTCCCAAATGCTGTAAGTGTGTCTTAGATTTTGAATCTTTCGAGCCATGGGACATCCCCATGAAATGTGTATTGGTAGAGTTAGTGGGCACTTGTTCTCTGTTTCACCGGGTTTCCTTTCCACTTCTGATGCATGCACCTTCTGCAAAAACAACGCAAGGATAGCATCATGACAAAACAAGATACATAATATATATATAATATATATATAATTATATATATATATATGATATATGTATAATAATATATCATATATATATATATATGTGATATAATATACAAATATATAGATAATATACATACGTATATACATACGTATATATATATATAAGTATATATATACATAATACAAAAAAACATATATATATAGATAATATGTATATGTAACATAATACATATGCATATATGTATATACACATAGTAAGGGAATTTCCTAAAATGGGGAACTCCCAAACCATTGTTTTCAATACAACAATGATCTAATTTGGGATAATGGGAAGCCTCCATATACATATATCTATATACAGTATATATGTATACATATCCATATACACACACATATATATATATATATATCCATATACAGTATATGTATATATATATAGAGTCCGGAAACTGTTATATAAGTTATGTAATGCTCCCGTGGACCCTGCCTATTCACGATTCTTTCTGGTTTCTCGAGAAACGACATAGGCCTGCAAGTTTGATTCTGCAGGAAACCAAAAAAATGATGACGGTGCAAGTCTCAGCTGGGATCCAATGGATCTTCGGGGCTGAATTTAGTGGGATTCGCCAAGGAGATGTTCAGATCAAAGTACGAAGAACTAAAGCAGCGCTCTGAAGCCGCAAAGTCAAAGCGATCCACATTGCAGACAGATCAGTATGAGGCGTCCACATGAGCCGTGAGCTTTATCGTGCCGGAATGTATCCGAATGTGCCATGGTAAACTGCCTGTGAGTTGCCAGAGTTCAGGACAGTCAAAAGCAAGGGCTTGTGCTCTCTGGTGGTCACAGACCGCTGGATAGGCAACGCTGCCCTGTATCATGGATTTTCATACGTGAACGATTCAATATGATTCAATATGATTCAATATGTCGAGTTCGCATGAATCTAAACCGCAGTTGCTTGTGCAGACCGGAGAACGTGGATTTGCCGCCCGAGTATCACCATCCAGTTGGGCTGCTGTCTCCTACACAATTGGAGGAGTGTTGACCTGAGGAAACAGCGATAAGTTGAGCACAAGTTGGAATACAGATACACAATACACACAATGATACAGATTGGAGAATATAATTCTCAAATGATTAGGATACCACGGCATTCACATTAAGACTGATTAATACTGATTGATACTGATTGCCTAATAGGGTGATGGATGAGTAAATCCAGAAGAGAGTCAGTTCAGTGCATGATTCAACTGGTGGATAATTGAGGGGCTCACGCAATGAGCAATTGAGTGGCAAGTTATAACGGACAAGCACTGGCAGGGTGGTTCTCTGACTCCGATGGGATAAGTCGCGCCATGCTGTTGTGATTTACAAGAGTTCGCAATGTTGGCAGCACGCAACGGAAGTGTGAACAGCAGAAAGCGAATGAACCCCCGCATCACCAGTGCCGGCAGATTGAAAACAGAGTGTAGACTGTAGACTGTTCCGGCCAGGGTTCGTTCCTAGTCAGAGTACGGGATAAGCAAAACTGTGACCGCTTGCAACTTTGAGGTTCCCTTTGTGCGCGCGAGATGCAACAGGAACAATCAGGAACATATCATTTTGCCCAATGCTTTGCCTTCTAGTATGATGTGCAACTCGCTCAAGTTGCTCCTTCAAAACACAGTGTTTGGTCATTCGTCAATGTTGACTGTGTAAGTTGAGTCACAGAAGCAAGTAGTGTAGCAGTGTAGCTCTTGGACTGATGGGTACTGGAGCGGTTAGCGCGGTAGGGAGTTACAGAACCCAGTAGCGGATCCTTTCTGGGTAAGTCTTGTGAGCTCAACAGCTCAGCAGTGCAGCTGGTGAGATAGTGAGTTGTTCACCGTTCACTGCATGGTGTACCAAGAATTACCAAGACACTGTTTTCTTTGTTCATGGCTTGGAAGTTTTTTCTCCTTTAAATTCTGTTGGGTAAGGTATGGCTGCGACAACAGAGACCGGAGATACTTGCTCTCCGTCTACGGCTACATTTTTGATGTCTCAGACCGCTCGAAACTGAACACATGCATCGATGAGAATTCAGACATGTCAACTCATCAAAAATCTCTGGCCTGCAACGCAAGGTCCTGACAAGTACGACCCAAACGGTCCGTATGCAAGTCTGACGGGGAAGGACAGTGTTCCAAGATGTTCTACGTCTAGCACTTCGAGCAGAAGTGGGGCCAACCGTGCAACCGCTGCAACTCTTGCCCTGAAATCCTGACTAGTTTGGCTTCTGGTTTGCCAGGATCTTACCTGGGGATTATTTGCTGGTGTCGACACTGTAGAATATACAAACAAGTTGGATGCTCAGCCTGGAAAGTTGTATGAACAACGGGAAAAGGTAACCTCATCGTCAAAGCGTCAGGCATGGAAAGCTCATTTCAAAAGAGAAGCAAGGATGATTCCTCCAGAAAGCTTTGAAATTGGTTGGTCCTTTGGTAGCTACCGGCAGCTCAGGAAATCTTCTTGCATAGAATCTTTCTTGAAAAACAGAGAACAATACCCTTTGAATCCCTTTGATAGATGCATATAAATGCTGTACATATTTAAATATGACATGGTTTCACACCAGCTATCGCTGAAAATGAATGAGAGCTATCAGATATTGTATATATGATATATACAGTAGTTTTGGTGCCTTTGTGTGTTTGTTTATGTGTCTGTTCACATCATCTTCTCCAATTTTACTATTTTGAGTAGGCTCTAAGAATCTCTGCAACAATCGTTGACTCTGCTACCATAGCCCAACAGACCTCGTTCACAAATTCACATGTGGCAGCCTCCATGCGTGGTTGAAACAAATCAACATAGGTCTTGATTTGCAATGTCTATTAGTCTAAACTGTGAAATCTTTTAGTGTGTCACTTGAACTGGCCTTGAAGTACTAAATACTGGGTGTTGTCATTGTTTCTCACTGCGCGTACCGTGGTTACCCTGGAGACTGCCGGGATTGCGTTTGCATGATGAGGTTCTACGATCTCTTCAAGGCACGAGACCTTGGAAAGGACCAAATTCCGAGCACTTGAGATGATGGCCGGACCTCGAAACCTTGTCCTGTGCTGCCCTGTTGCGCTGGAGAGGACAAGATGACCGGTGTTTGCAGTTGGCTTGTAGACAGCCCAGCAGTCTTACTATGAAAATCTCCGGCACTTTGCCCGGGACTCGATTGACCTTTGTAGTTTCGAGGCTTGGTACGAAACAGAGTATGGAAAGCCGGTTGGCAAATTGGAGCAGGACTCTCAGCTTGGAATTCACCTTCGAAACAAATCCTACACTGAAGCAGCTGAACTTTCTGAAGCACTGGGGAAGACTGGGGCCTTACAGAAACATCCAAAACTCAGACCGTCTTAGGATTATAGAAGTCATATGTGCAGCTAAGATGAAGTGTAGCGTTCAACACAAGATTTGTGTGAAAAATATGTGCGCAAGAAGAGAGACATGTTCTGCATGTTTTGTTTTCTTGGCAACCAGATTCAAGATAAGTAAAAAGGATATGTTGTGAGATACCTTGAATATCCTTGATTTGTTTTGTGAAAGTTTTCTCCAAAAGTTAATTGCACATGAGGCCATGGCAGCGTGAGTCTGAACTGCCTGCCGCGTTCTTAGAAGCCATGACAGCATCAAAAAGCGACTTGATGTAACGTGTCTAGCAGTCTGGGAGATGGAACTGCAGGTTGTTGTGGTCTGCATTTCTTTTGGTGTGTCCTTTTTTTGTTTGTGACGCGGGGCCATTTGGGTGGGTCCCTTTCCTGTTTTTTTTGACATTCAATAGATTTCAATATCACCTCTGTTTTTTCAGATTTGCAGTGTAAGTTGGTCGGAATGGTGCAGGCCCCCCCACTGGCAGAGATCGAAGAGATGTGCGTGGCAGCGAGCTTTGGTGACAAGAGACAGGACTCAGAATTTTCAAAGGCTTTTGCATGAATGGATGCCCCAAAGTGTGGAGTGGACACAATTTTGGCTCCAAGTCGATGTCTATATATTTGTTCCATACAAGCAGGTTGGAACCTGGATTTCTGCATCCTCGAGCCGATTCTTTTTTGTGTTGGGCGTACACGCAGCCATACACACACATATTTGGGTTTCATGGAAGGAATGCGATAAATGCAGGATCTTGCAAACACCTGCAACGTTTGAGTATTTGTTCGGAATCTGTTGCGTGCACATGAGATCTATCATGGGAGGACTGTCTCCTGCAACCCATAGAACCATAAGAGCGCAGTCAGATCGCACCCTCCTACCCAGAGTAGGGGTATGTTAGAATTCTGTTGCCATGCTGCAAACCCTCGTTCTGGCAGCCTTTTCATGTTGGTTCCAGGTGCATCTAGCGGTGGATCATTGCAGACACACGACTAGACTAGACCAAGGGAAGAGGCGGAATGAAGATATGGGAACTTTGCGCTGAATTCTTTCCGTAGTAAAGTCGCCGAACCTTTTTCAGTTGTCTCTTCTAGTTCTAGTCATTCTCGGCTCTAGTTTAGGTGCCTGGTCAACTCAGGAAATAGTGATACCATCCTCCTCGATGCAAGCACATGTTTTGAACATGACGCGTTTATACACATGAAACTTGCATGGATGTATATATATATATATATACTGTACATATATGTAATATGTTGTAATATGTTGTAATATGTGCCGCAGAAGCTTTAAAGCTAATTGTGCCCAGTGAGCTCACTCTGCACGATTCGCCAAGGTCATGTGAGCCCAAAAACCGATGCTGCAGGAGTTGGGTCGATCGGTCGATTTCTTTTTGTTTGCTCAGAACATGGAGAAAACACATCACCTTTGGCCTTTGTTTCAAACATGGATGAAAGATAATGACAGGACAAATGTGACAAATGCTCTATTTTTTAATTTGCTCAAAATGTTACTTTCACATGTGATCTACGTCATTCACACTGAGGAGTTTTTCAGCAGCAATTCTGCCTGTGGCCTTTTCAATTTCCATGAGTTCAAAGGAAGGACCTGCGACGACTCTAGTCAACACAGAATGTGTTTGCCCATGTACAAAGATGCAGAGATTCCTGAGATTCCTAGCCAGTCTAGCCAGTTTGCCATCCTCAACTGGTATGGCCAACATGGCCATTTGCTCCAGACTCTGGCGTGCAGAGCGAGGCTTGGTACTTGCAAAATTCACTGCAGCTTTTCTCCTGCTGTGTTACAAGTTGCAGGTCCAGAAGGAGAGTTGTCAAAGGGACACAAGGGTATGCGCGTTGGTCTGACTAGGTGGTGTTTTCTCTTGCTTCTTGTACTTTGAAACGGTTTGTAGGTTTGTATTGCGTGCGGTCAGACGTTTGCAAGGGTTTGCTTTACTTCAGTGGTGCGACTTTCTTCGGGTTTATATATCCAGCTAGTGTCCGGTCATAGAGGTACCACCTGATGCTGTGTGAATGCAATGATATTGACATTAATTTGATGTACTTTGAATGTGTTTGATAGTTGTACTTGTCACTTGGTACTCCACAAGACTCCACAAGACCCTCACTGTGAAACACTGGATCACTCTCTTTGTTCCCACCTGCGCCCTGCGCCCTGTCCAGAAATCCGTGACCTCCTGGGCGTCCGATGGATCCGATGGACCCTGTATGACTCACTGTACAAAAACAAAGTCTGTCTCTGTCTATCCGTGTCCGTGTCTCACCGTGTCTCACCGTGTCTCAGCGTGTCTCACCGTGTCTCACCGTGTCTCACCCCTTGGGCCCTGGTTCTGAAATGCTCAGCTACATTTACACACTCTGGGCAGGACCATTTCTGTTTTCATGAATTTCTATTTTGCACCGCGAGCCATCCACTTGGGCCCACAGTGAACAGGAATTTTCAATTTGCACACCTCGCTGCTTCTTTGGTTCTTGCAAGCGCTGCAAGTGCATCAGACAAGTGATGGATGCTCTTGTATGTAATGCGTCATGTGGATAGATGTTTGGATTGAGCAGGACTTGCTTCCAGACAGCAATCTTTTTGCCGTAAACAAGTGGTAGACCTTTTACCTCCCAAAGTCAACATCCAGTATAGTCTATTTGCTGCCATTGGAAACCAATGAAGAAGATACATGAGCCAACAAATGCCATATATTGAAAAACGGAGCAGACAGTAACGCAGTGCTAGATTTACATAGAATCACACAGTGATGTTAATGTAGAGTTGAGTGAAAGGGGTTCGACTAATTTCAACTATATAAGTGTACTTACACTGTGTACACTGTGTACACTGTGTACACTCTAGACATGCTTTCCACTTCGACCGATCCGTTTGACGTCGCAAGAGCCTCATGCTGGGACTGCAGAGTCAAGTTATTTGTTCAGCGCAAGACACTTTTGAGGCTCGAGATGAAGTAGAGGCTCTCATTCGAAAGGCATGGTGGCGGGGTGGGTACCTTTCTCCGGGAAGCCCATGAATGCAAGATGAATGCAAGACTTCTTTATACTTCTTTGACTTTCGACACATGAGTTGAGTCAGTGTTCAGGTGCGGAGCATGCACAAAGAGTTGGACGCTCAGAAACTGTGCTAGAGGGCGAACATTCATACGAGGGCGAAGGTGGTGACGGGAAGCCCGGGAAGGCGGCAAATAGATTCTTTGCATTTCTTTGCTGAGGTGGCAAAAACTGCTACAGTCAGAAAACACAGCTGAGAGTCGGAAGTTTCAAGCCAGGTGCTCAGGGTGCTCAGGGTGGTTCAGACTCTTTCGGATGGCCAGAGAGGTTTAGTTAACCCCATGCTGATGGCCCCTGGCTCCAAGACGATCTCAAGGATCTACAAAAAGAGCTAGCGGCAGAGCTCTCGATTTTGTCTGGCGACCTTGCAGAGGTGGGTCAGCTTGTGATTCTTGGCACTTTAGCACTTTAATTTCAAAAAACCGGGAGCAAAACCAGCAGATTCTTGGAGATTCTTGGCACCTTTGAATACTTTTGAAGTGCCAGGTGGACGCGAGCATCAAGGCACTTCAGACGGCACAGATTTGATGCAGCTCACCAATGCTCACCACGCACACCAAGCACTGTCGCATTCCAGGCAGTGGAAGACAACAGGGAGCGCTTTCACCTGAGTGATGCCCAACTGGCAGCTCGAAAGGACGGAACAGAACCATATATCATACAAAACAAATTAAAACAAACATTTTTTGTTTGACTGTCGAGGCAAACATTGAGGGAGTTTGGG